CAGGACGAACTTCTGTCTATGAATACTAGATATGCTTTAGACGCGGTTTCGATCAATTCACTGACAATCATTTCACCGAACGCTCATTTAGCCGACATCACATAGGGTTAGGGTTAAGTACTTGATTAGTTGCAGGTACGTATATATTTTTACTAAATTTCACCTGGCGTGATGTCGGCTAAATGAGCTGCCAGTAAAGTGATTGTCGGTGAAATAATACGGACCCCTTTAGACGACCCCTAATTGGGTATCTTAGAAATTTAACTATAAATTTTATTTTAATTAAAATAGTTAAAAAGAGTTATGTCTAACAACATTTTTTGACCAATTGGACTTGCTAAATGTCAATTTATATCTGTTTAGTACAATTCCAAAATTGGAGCATATGAATTTCTTGTTATTTTGGTGGCATCGTGAACAATAGAATTATTCAAACAATAACGCCAATCGCAGGATAAGCCAAATAGTTAAAATAATTTCATGAACTTTACCTATAATCATTAATCAATGAAACAATAACAACATCTTAAATTGAAATGCGCTTTGTGTCTTGCATCTGTGATATTGATATTTGTGATGCAAAGATGCGATGATGCATCGATCACTTTTAGAATCAATCTGCTTAAGTATGTTAAACTTGATAGTTATATATACGTGATGGTATAAACTTTCTCATTTGTTGTTTTATTATTGTTAAGTCTAACACATATTTTAAAGATTTTCATAAAGCCAAAATATTGCTTATTATTCTTTTCAATAAGTTGTCATGCTAAAACATATCATACGAATCATATTCTTAACAATGCTTCTCATCATGATAATGCGAATAGTAGTGCCCCTTCCTCTAAAATTACGTTCTCAGACTTTACCATCTTCTACGGTGCCGTCTCCTCCTATGACACCCGTACCGAGCACAGATGTTCCTCTTTCAACAATTGAAGTGAATCCACACCCAATAAGTAATGCGCCAAATTTTAATGTACCGCCAAAGAAACCTACATCTCAATTACCAGAAAACATACACCCTATTAACACGAATACAGAAATTCCCGTTACACACGTACCGTTAACGGCCACACCAGTTAATCCGAATAATCCCGTAGCATTGCCCAGAAATATCGCACCACTAGATGGAATGGCAGATCCATTTAGTAATAATCACCCTGGTCATAACATTGTACCATTCATGTATAAACGCACTAATAACGCGTATAGAGTTCCATATAAC